AGCCATCTTTTTTTTAATCCTGATAAAATTCAAAAGCAAAGCAATTTCAATTTTTATAAAAATGGCAATCATTTTAAAACAATATTAACAAGAAAAATATCTGGTTGAAAATAGACGAACTAAAAAAAATTCTGGTTATATTAATCAGAATTCTGATTAAACTTAGAATTACCTCAACTAGATTCTAATAGATTTGATTAAAAAATTCTAATTCGTTATTTTCAACCAAAATTCCAATTAATCTAACCAGACATTTTTCTCAGTGAAGCATTCGATATCATATTTATATCATCTTTATTCTCGTTTTTTAGTTCCAATTGCCTCTCAAGTAATTATCCTTTATTTTTAAAATACCCTATATTTATAATCAGGTTTTTATTTGTATAATTTAAGAGCATCTCATTTCGAAAATGAAGAGAAAACGAGATTTTTGTCTTTGTCGGATTATCTCAATTACATGCATTTTTCGAGAAGGAAGGAAAAAAATTGTCTAGACACTTTTTTTATCTTGACATGTATAATTAGTATTATAAGTTTACGAATGAATAAAATTGCGTTAATAAGACGCATCGTCACGAATGCACTTACACTGTATACACATTTTCACGCGGGTATCCGTCAGTCAATTTCTCACCCTCCTCCTTAATATAACGATCAAAGCTCCGATTCATCGCCGGACAAACCGGCGATGCGAGTTAACGGTGAAAGACGAGTCGAGGTCAATTTCGCTTGGCGATGCATTCGCGAATTACTTTTGGTGATTCGACCTTTCACCGCGACCAATCAAGTTATTACGCGTAACGCAAACCGCGGGAGTCTCGCTTGACGCTTAATATATTTCTCCCGTGTGAGATATAAGCTTTCAAGACGGCCACTGCAAAAGCCACTGCAGTGAAACATGACTTGTTACTTCACACTATGACAATCTCGAATTAAGAAAGTTGCATGGACCCGTTACACGTGTAGATTCTAAAGATCGCAGATTTTATCGTTTGCCATCAACTTACCTGTTATAATAAACATCAATTGATCATCTTCTTTTGACATTGTTCGATAACAGTTTAAAATTCACTTAGCACGTGCTAAGATACATGATGCTGCAATTTTATCAATTATTTCGAGAATACATTCAAAGAATTTAAAAAAATAATTAAAAAAATTAAATAACTAAATTAAATTAAATTAGACAATAAACTATTATTTATAAAAATTTTAACTTTTCACCTTCAATCAATTGCATTCTTGATATTTTTTGACACAAGCAAAATTTCACTCTCTTTCTTTCTCAATTTTATTCAAATGTCAATTTAAACAATTGAATTTTTTAAAAACTATTCGGTAATATAATAGAGAAATGTTAAAAAATAACCGTTGATTTTTCTACGTTTTCTGAAAGCCTTGAATAATAAAAAAAATTTAAACAAAGAAGATCCAGATTGTAAGCAGTAAAAAATATATTGCATAGTTAATATCTTTCTTAACAAGAACCATTATTACAGGCACTTCGGTAAACAAAATATCTCTCAGAAACCAAGAAGATCAAAGCTTATGAAATGATATGTTCTGTAGCGTAGTATAGGCAAGATTTACTCATAATACCAGCTATGCAAATATATGCAAATATAAATGCAAATCCAGGAAGTACAATCAAAACGGAAACGCGCGGTCGATTAACCGACAAGCCACCCACCGTATTTCTATCAGCGAATTTCAATTAGCCAATAAACTTCGTTCGATACCTGCGGACATACACGATGAGTGCACTTAATGCGCGATAACGGGGTACACACTACGCTTTCGCCATTTCACCTTCAACTTGCGTGAAACTAAGGCGTGATCAGAGCGCAGTTAATATTTTACTTGATCTACGTGTAAGACAGGTTTCGCCGGATCTAGGAAACAACATGCAAATAAAAATCGTCAATTTTGAGACAAATGTTAATAATCAATTAATTAGGAATAAACAATTGTCACTCGTCTCTGGTTTTGAGCCAAAGACTCCAGTTTTTTGGAGAAATCTTCAGCTCTTCGGCTGATGGAAAAACTTTGATAATCTTCTTTTAGAGAACAACACACAACACACTACAAGACAATAATTTTAATAATCGATCTCTGGTAAGATAGCGAGATCTCCAGCAGAAGAAATGACAACTGTACTCTCTAAAATTTTCAGAGTAAACCTCACTCTGAAGAATGGAATCTTACTCTTAAAGATTGAAAATTGAGTTTCTTTTTCAACTTTTTCAACTCAAATTTTACTCTTTACAGTGAAATTTCATTCCAAAGAATTTAGAGAGATAATAAATTTTTAGAGAGATAATAAATTTTTAAGCAATATTCTTAGTAATGCAGATATCGAAATATCACAAATTTGTACATGTAAATATAATATTATCCGACAGTCAACACCCGAATCGCAGTATAGATCTGCGGCTAATTTTGAAATAGTTGCATATTCCCGATTATTCGATCACGCGTGATCCGTCCAATTAAACGATTTTCCGTAGATTACGCGATGAGATGAAAGAGTGCCGCACCATAACACGTCAAGTTAAGATATTACACGGCACGATAAGCGGTAAAGTATGCGTTTATGTGCACGTGAAAATTCCGGGGTCAGTTTCACGCAAAGTTCCCAGACGTTTCATCGTTTTGCTCGGTAGCGCAATAAATCTGCATCCGCCGTGCTTATCCGCAAGTAATCTGCCACCGATAGCCCAGCTAGGCGCTATGTCAACGTCGTTCCTCGCTTTCCCACTACGACCACAGAAAAATGCTAATGAATCCCGCGCGCCGTACACCGCATGGTATATAACCGGCAGGCTGATTTATAGCGATCGTGTTCCCCTCAGAGGATCATTATGACACCGTCGGCTTTCGTCGCGGATTCCATGGCGCCCCTCTCGAGATTAGCTCGCGTGTGCAAGCAGCAAATGTACGCTCCCGTGCCTGCCTGCTTTTCTTCCGGCAACGAAAGATATCGACATGTAACAATGCGTATTGTGGCCACGCGAGATGATAACTCGGCCGCGATAAATTAGAAGTATCGCTCTGGCCTGGATAGTCCTGGGAACACGAGCGATAGGTCATTTACGTGAGTTTTGGTATCGCAAACACGTTTTTTTTTTTTGCTTTGTTGATATCGACACGGGAAATCGTCAGTCAAGCCAGGGTATGTCTCGTTATGGCGATCTTTTCTCATAAATTCATATTAATTCTCGTGAAGTTTGAAAGCGGCAGCGCGATCTCGCAACGCTTTTTCAGAAAGACCCCTTTAATTATCCTCGCATATCGAGATATATCGCGATCTGAGAAGCCCACGGGGACGGCTGATCAGCTGTATGAATTAAACTTCGCGCTAGAATATCCGATGAAAGGCGGTATACCGACATGACGTGGCGAAAGACAGCGTCGATGAAATCGCGGAAATTTTCCGCCACTTTTTCCCAAGCCGGCGGGAAAGAGTCGCCGACGCGGAAACGGACGCTGGCTCGCTCGCGTCGAAGATGCCGAAAGATAGATCGGCGTGTTTCTTGCCGAGAGATGCCCCGAGCGTAATAGTGCGCGCTTTTCTCGCTCTTCGTTTTTCGTCCCGTTCTTTCCACTGTCGAACCGATACTATTCTCCCGCTCGTACGCTTCCCGACGAAGTGCATGAGAGTTCGGCGTTATCGGTTGGACGGAAAATCATAAAGCCGCGTGATGACTGATACCAACGTGGCTATAATGCGTGATGTATTTTATGAGCTGGAGAGTATGCGAATGCGGTCACAGAATCGCGAAATGACAGCGCGATTATCACGAACGAGAGACGCAAACGCCGATGCGCAATGAAAAGAATGTATATCTGAGAAGTAAAATGATAAAAAGATGAGTTTGTTAAAGTATCTAAAAATGTAACTAGATATAAATCTGAAAATAATTTTGTTGGACCATCAAAATTATTATGTAAGAAACTCGAACATGATGAGAGTGATGCTGCAAAAGTTTTAACATTCTAGCAATCAGTTTAAGTGCCTACATAATTTAATGGCCTAATAAAATATTCAGTGTATAAATAATATAAAAATGTAGAAACTATTTTTTTCCAGAAAAAAGACATAAAATCTTTTCAATAATTCTTTTTCAATCCTTTGTGATTTTTATATTGAAATAAAGTTTAATTTAGATATCTCAAACAGACAATATATTTTCTCTTGCGCACATATCTCACATATATTCATTAATTAACTAAATTTAGGTATTAATGTTTCAATTAATTAATAATTGATAATTAATAAATTGACAACAATCTCGTTAAATATTAAATGTTCAGCGAAAAATTTTCTATAATCGAATCGATGTCTATTTGCTCCGATTCGGTTCTCACGGTGTTTAATCGCCATTGCACCGATATTAGAAAGCGTTCTGTCGGTAGGCACGTCGTAAGCGTGTTAATTGAATAGCTTACAAACTAGAGAAGCTTAGAGAGCTTGTAGGAAGAGATGCGGTCAAGTTGGAAAGAACGGCAAGCCGCGACTCTGCTCCGTATCGACGATTATAGTGGGCGTGCCCGCGACTTCATGACGGTGGAAAATTATAATTATTACCGACATCGGCGTCGATCACGTTTATTTAACGGAAAGCTCACGCGCTCCTTCCTTCTCGCCCAGCCGGGATTAATAAATTGCCAATTCGGAGTCGGATGATTTCAGTTATTATCGGCTACAACAGCCTCGTTGAGGAGTACAGATGCCGGTGTAATAAATGGGTGTCTCGCGCCAGTATGCTGCGGCCGTAAAGTGTGAATTTTCTTGCGAGTTAAAAACGCCCTTCGTAAAAATTATCGCGGCCGCGTCGCCCGCTAATCGAATTCATAAATTATGGTATGGTTCAGCGGGCCCTGCACGCGCGACTGATCTCGCGATAATCCCGATTGATTTATTAGTACCTCGCAACTGCAGACTGTATGGTCTGATCTCGATGTGCGCCAAAGTGATGCATTATACGATGGATACATACCTGGGTAGACGAGCGAGGTAGAGTAGAAAAGACGACGTCTCTCTAATGGAAAGGGTTTCCCTTGTGGATACATTGTCCTCGAATTCGATAACCGGTCTCCCGGCGACGTCTGAGTATCCTGTGAGCAATCAGAACAATTTTCGTTAATATATCTTATTTAAAATTTGTCAAAATTGAACAGCAATTCGTTCATATAAAAATTAATATTTTAAAACTGTACATATAATATCAAAATTACATGATTGTATTATAATGTTGAATTTTTTCACCTAAAAAGAATGCAAATCTTTAAAGATCTGCAAATCTCTGAAAGATAATTTTTCTGTACACATAGCGTGTTATTTCTTCGCATGTTTACATTGTAACAGATACAAGCGATGGCGTACCATGAATTGTCTCAACGGTGCAGAAAATGTTGGCGAGCATGGCTGATTACAGAGCATGATTCGATTTACGATGAGCGATTGCCGATTGCAATCTTCCTATCCGGCATAAATTATTAAATGACATCCTTTTAGTTGTACCTCGGGAGAGTAGGTCATCTTTGAATAAGGTCTCTTAGCTACAGGGTGAAATGTACCAGCAGTGACATTACAAACAATTCCGTGATCGTAATAGATAATGCCGAGTAACAGTTCGTTTTCATCCGTGTTATTGCAAATCGTGATGTTGGGGTCGTAACCTAACTATATACTATTGATCATTAAATAAAGCCGACGCCTCTAAGCATTGCTTAAAGATGATCTGCGTTTGAGAACGTAACAATATAAAAAAAAGTTCTACAGGTGAACATCGTGAATGTTAATTATTAATTGACTTCGCATTTATTGTCTACAAGTAATAAATAAAAATATATTTGAAGAAATTGATAGAGAGAAGTTTATAACTAGAAATATATTTTGCTATTGTAGAAGAATAAAATATTTAGAGATTAGCACAAAAATCAATACAATCGTTCTACATAATTTAAAAATAATATAAAACCTGTGTATTGAATATTTTTTTACTTCTGTTGCTACAAATTTACATATTCATAAAATTTGAAACAGTATCAAAAATTAAATTTGTATTTTTATAAGTAATTTATATTTTTGCAAAGTAATAAATATAACATGATTAATAATAAGATATATTAATAGATATAACAATTAGATATAAGTAAATCATATATAAACACGAGCTGTGAAAGAAATCAATATACAATGTAATTTTCTATTAAGGTGTAAAGTTCTATGAAACATTTCACACGATGAAGGCTTTGTTCTGCTTTATATTTAGATACACACATAGTAGTTTAAAACATTTTCATCCACGTAGATATTATTTAATCGATTATGCAATAACACGATAAAAATGTCTAATGACTGGCAAACAGCCACGCTAAACTCAGCTTTAAAATATCTCAAAAACTTAACTTTATATCTTTTATTTTCTATGTATAATAAAACACTAATTCTTGTCTAGAATTTAATTTACAGTTACCGCAGCTAATTCAAATGACAGTGAAACTAAAGATTAGTTTTAGTGACTTTCATATAGTGACTTTCATTATCATTATTATTATTTACCGTTCAATCATTCAACGATATTCTATCCTATAATTACAAACAGTTCTGAGATATGATAAATTAATCATAACACATGATTTGCCAATATATACCCAAAGCCCGATTTCTAATGTGTATCAATAACATATTTCAAATATGATATATTTACTTTATGTTATTTGTAAATGTGTTATACAAGATTATATAAAACTATCATATGTGTACACATTATGCATTATAATAAATGTGTATACATTATAATAAATCATAATAAAGCAATTTGCTTTATTATTAATATTAGAAGAAATAAACCGTTGATAAAAAATAATATGTAATTACATTAAACTTAATTATAAATAAACAGTACTTCACAATATGTGTAATAGCAGAGATTCATTTCTGACGTTTTAATAATTTAAAATACCATAATGCTACAGATTACGGTTCAACTACAACGCTAACGGATAAAGTGTTGATCGTTCTACAAATACGTCAAAATAGATTTCTCGAATCGGTGTATCGCCTCTGTGATCGCAAATAGATCGCGTGGGTGGGTTTCTCCCTTTTCATGCACAACGAACGACCGCTCACGCACTCGTTGTTGCGTTAATCGAATTGCACGCATTGCGGCCACTTATCGCCGCTAGTGCGTAGTGACTGCGTCGAGTACCACAATCACCAACAGTGGGCGCGCAGCTTTTTTAATGATCGCGCTCGAATTACCATAATCGATCGATTACCACTGCACCATGCGCAAACGAGGGGTTTCCCTCGGAATGAAGATGTTAATCCGGACTACCTGCTCGCTGGAGAATTACCGCCTCGCAGTGCAACATATTCAGCATTACAGTTATAGATAGTGACATTAATAGGACAGAATTCGATAGTGCATAGAACGGTAGAATATGATAGAATATATAAATATATTCAATTGAAATTCGTCTTTCAATAAATACTATTTAATGCTGAAAATTAAAGAGCTGTAATTTTTAAATATATCTGAACAAATAATAAAATCTCTACTAATTTTTTTGTTAATCTTAATTTTTATTACATAATCTGTCTTTTAGATAATCTTAAATTAACTTCGGTTTTATAATAAAAATTTGAAATTTCATTTCTAATGTGATAAATAATGAAAATTTATAGAAAAATAGAAAATTTATAACATATAAAGGCGTTATCAAAGAACGATAATTGACACGATTGTATATCGCACGTAACGAACTGATCTGAATGACGATTGTGTGATTGCCATTTTTCTACCGACATAAAGCGATCTTCTCAAAGCTACGTTTTGTGCACTCGGAATATCGGCCACGAGTTGCAGATGATCAGCAGATTCGCTCGGGCGCATACATATATCCGTTTCGCATATGCGCGCATTCGCCGATCGCCTCTACAAATCGCCGATCGTTCATCATCATCGTCTCACTCCTACCCGATAAAGACTCAACGCGGACCCAGCTCGGCTTTTAACGTAAATCAAGCGTGCTTATGGTCGGCGCGACGTCTCCTCTCTCTCCCCTCGTTCCTCAGAAGAAAGCCCCGTAGTTCACTCTGGAGGCGTCGATTCTTTCGTCTCGTCCTCTCCGCGCGAGCGAGAGCGAGCCGCTCGCGCGGAGTAGCCGCGAGGCGCGCGTCGCGTATACGGGGCGTGCGCATGGTGTGGGACTCGTGAGAAAGATGAACGATAGCCAGATGGATACGTCAATATGCGTGCCATTAGCCGTTACTTTTTGGATTTATTGCATGATGCCCCGTAAATCCCCGTGATTTCTAATTATATGGCCGCATTTGCCCTCCCCCCCCAGCCCGGCCTTCCACCCTGCCTCTCTCTTTCATCTCTTTAATTTCCTACTTGTTCTCGCAGCTCTCTTCGCCAATCAATTTCTATTAAAATGAAAACGTCGATGTACCGATCGCGAGACGGACAACGCCTGGCCGTAATGCGTAATTCACTTCATAAATTATTATCTTCAATTTTGCTGCGACGGATATTGCGGACTGGCCGGAATTGCGGGTCTGTAATACACTCGCGATTTAATCGCAGATTGATACTCGATGTATCCAATAGACAGATGAGTGTTTTAATTAGATTATCGAGGAATTCTCTGAAAATAATAATTTTCGGTTATGCTGATGATTGTTTAAAATTATATGACGCGTTTCAATATTTCTTTCGTGTAAAATTATATAACTTATGATTATTGCAAATCATGCGTCGAAATCATTTTTTGGTCTTGAAACGCAATCATAAACAGAATCAGAATAGTAATATCACAAATTAAATTGACAAACAACTTAATTTTTAATGTTAATAAGCATTTTTATAAACATATTAATAATCTGATGTTAATAAGAATATTAAATCAGCGAACAATTTATTGCGAAAAATATTATCTCAGCTGGGATTCTCGAACAATAAAGTTCGAGAATATATGGGACAGGAAAACGATTCCATCAAGAAATAATGTCGAGAAAGACGACATATATTTTTTTAACAATATACATTTCACACGTTTTCTAATATAATTTAATGTTGGCTCTTATTATCGGCAAATATTGAAGAGAAAGCTGCAAAGGTGTGAAAAGGATTGAAATAATCTTTCCTTTTTTGCCTGTATTTTTTTTCTTTCTTCTTTACGCATCTATGAAACCGTTAGTTATATTATCCCGTAAAAGCTAAGTTATATGAAACGTTTCTCGGAAACAAGAGGAGAGCGAAATTGCGTATTGTGAGTACAACGATTACATGATCGAGAGAAATACAGTATCTTCAGCACGCTCGATATGGGATTTTCTACAAGCATATTGATAAGAGAGAAAACTCATCGTCGTGCTCGGCTAGGCGTGCAGCAAAGTTGACCCTCTGAGCTCCCACAGGCACGATTCGCCTGTGGATTAACACTCGTTAGCTCGCCCAAGATGCTATAATCGCTTAATTAGTCGCCTCAATGCACCACCACGTACTTGTTAGGGTAATCGGCGATTATACATTCGCCGCGGCAAGTAGCACCGTAAGTTTCTCGCAATGTAAGCCCATCGAGGAAGTTCCGCGATCGTAACTTCGCCGCGACAAATTAATGGCTTGACTAACGTTCTTTCGACTTCAACTGCACGTCGTACAGTTATCCGCGTGACGAATATTCACTTTCGCCAATGAGATTATTCATTAATTAATCACTGACTTTACATTATTTATCTTCATTTTTATTGAAACTGTAAAATTTAGAAAATTATGCAAAATTAATATTAATACCAAATGTAAATATTTTAAAGAAAAAATAAATATTGAGTATGATTCATTGAAATTTAAATTCATAAGTAAATATTTGCAAATCAAATAAACAAAAATTTGTAGTGTCGTAAGTGAGAAAATTTATCCAATAATTCAAGATGTCACCTAATATTCTGAAAGTACTATTTGTTCAAAATTTCTAGATCGTATTACTATTTAGAAAGTTGAATTGACGCATAAGGATCAACGAGACATGTCATTCTTGTTTAGAAAAATATCTGTGGTAACACGGGAAAAAATCTCCACCTCTATTAACCTTGAATCTTTCAC